CATTCCAGGCCACTGGAACAGCAGGTGCAAAAGGGCAAGGTGTCCATCAGCCCCATCAGTGACTGCAGACAAGAAGCAAGGAGGCATAAACCTGGGGATGAGGGATGACAAGTGCTGAGTGACAAAAGGCCTTGAATGCCAGGTTACGTTTTCCTGTTAACCCAAGGGTGACAGCCAGTCACAGAGACATTCTCTACAGGAAGTGACATGATAAGATTTGCACGTTCAAGAGAGAACTCTGGGGGCAATGCAGAGGAAGATAGGCTGGAGGCCCCGAATTTTGCAACTGAGAGGCCAGGGAAGAGGCTACTGTAACCTTCCAGGCTGAGAGAAAATAGGACTAGAGAGTGGAGTGGGAAGGTGTGCGAGGCATGTGCCAGACAAATCAGGAGATTTAGTGGTGAGCAAGGAGCCTAGGTCACACACTCAGAAAGAGGACTGGGGCTTTCTGGGGACAGGGGTGGAGGTACAATGAGTCAAACCCTGCAGTCAAACCCCTCAGTTCTGAATTGCACACGCAATTAGTGCACATCTTGGCTGGTGGGAAACCAGGCTGACGTATCCAGCAGCCAGTTGGATATTTGAGGCAGGCTGAGTAAGAGGATCTGCATGACAAAAGTTCACAATTATACACAACGTGGAGCCCGAAAGAAAAGAATGAAAAGATGATTTTTATCAAACTCCACAGTAACATAGTAACAGCAAAAAAGCCATTATAGGTAGTAAATGTGGAAGTCTCCGAATAATTTTCCCAGTAAGCAGCCCAGACTGGCTTTCAACAATCTTTCACCTTCCTTCCTTCTTTTCTTACTGTTTCTTCTTTCTGTTTCCTCCTTTCTTTCTTTCCTTCCTTTTTTCTTTCTTAAATATATATTTATGATGGGTTTATAATATGCTAGATGTAGTGCTGGGTTGCAATGATGAATAAACACGGACAGGGTAGCTGCCCGCACAGACTTTATGGTCTAGTGGAGAAGACGGACATTAAGCAAAGGCTCACACAAATAACTGTTTAATTACCAACTGTGGTAACTCCTAAGGAGAGGCACATGGCAAAGTGATCCACATCCAAGGGGCCACAGTGAAGTCTTCACTCAGGACATGTCAATTTCACTGAGATCTGAATGACGAAGAGATTTTACTGGGTGAAGGGGACTGGAGCAGCCTTCCAAGCAGAGGCTCAGCATGTGCAAAGGCTCATGGGCAGGGGAGAGCATGGAGGGATGGAAATGCCAGTTGGGACTGGAGGTCAGAGATAAGGGAGAGCGTGAGTGAGGTGAGGCTGGAGAGGCAGGTGGGGGCAGGCTGTGGTGAAGAGTGTGGTTCCCTTTGAGTGGCAAATAGGAAGCTATGGAAGAATTTTAAGTAGGGAGGGGTATGAGCATTTTTAAAATACGACTCTTTCTGCCCCGTGGAGAACTGATGAAAGGGCTTCAGAACAGATGAGTGGAAGCCAGCTGAAGACGACTGTAATGATCTAGGAGCACAATAACGGTGGCTGGATAGAGATGTGGTCATGAAGATATAAAGAAATGGATGGATTTCAGAGATGCTTTTAGGATGTAAAATCTACAGGTTTATAGGTGGTGAAGAGGCTATGGGTGATGAAGGAGACAGCCACCCATGTGGGCATTCAGATTCACCCTGCATGGGTATTTTAACATGGTTGTAAATAAATGAGAGGTTAAGGATCTTGTAAGAGGGCTATGGAAGGGAAGGGTCAAGGAAGTCATTGTTTGTGTCAGCCTAGAATAACTTTCTTGTCCTCTAGGAACTTAGAATCTGCTAAGATGAGCCCAGCACCTAAGCACCAGCCCATTTATAGTGTTTGGGATCAGATCAGTAGGTAGGAGAAGCAATAAAAGATACTGACTCCACATGACCTAGAAGTCCAAAGAAGAGAAGGGCCTCCTGTAGAATGAGGCTCATGAGCAGCTTTCAAAATCCTTTAACACTTCCCTACAATTCATGTGTGAACTCTGTGTTCAGTGTAATACTGAAAACATGTAATTCTTGCAGTTGTAACACATATAAACCATATGCATTGCAAATCTCTTTTTAACAAAAGCATACAGATCCAGCTGTTGGCAAGCAAATGCTCTTGGCATTTGATTCCTACAAATGCCAAAAATCATACCTAGAAATGTAAAATATTCATTATTGGTAGAGTCCTTCACCCAAACTTCTTTTGAAAATAATGAAGCAAATCCCTATTTTGGTAGGAACGTGGCAAATCAGAAATGTACAATTATCACTTAAAATAAGTAAATGGTTGGAAGGAGCTCAGGAACCCCACACAAGTGGCTGCCATGGACACAACTCAGGTTTGGAGCTTTGCAAGTGGGTTTTGTTCTCATAAAGTATGATGCAGCGTGATGTGCGCACAGGAAACACTGTTTCAAGATCCCATCCTCAACAACCCATGGAGACATAGCTTGTAATATTGTGGTTATGAAATAGTCTTCCTTTTTCTGCCATATTGTCAATGTTGGTAGGGGGCGGGAGGGGACAGGGATGGGGAAGGAAGTGAACACAGACAGAGGGTGACTTCTGCTCTTTGCTCTGTGTATTTCTCTATCATCTGCATTTTAAAAATAAGAATTCAGGGGGTCCCTGGCTGGCTCAGTTGGTTAATCATCTGACTTTGATTTTGGCTCAGGTCATGATCTCAAGGTTCGTGGGATTGAGCCTGGAGTCAGTGCAGAGACCATCTGGGATTCACACTTTCTGCCCCTCCCCTAACTCATGCGCGCGCTCTCTCTCAAATAAAAAAGCTTTAAAAATAGAATTCACTTAATGTAGTTTTTTAAAAGTAAAAAATGAATATTCTTCTGTTACCTATATATCTCATGATGTACCTCAATTCCCCTTGCTGAGGTTTCCAAGAGTATGAAAAACCATTGATTTCCATATTCTGCAAAGGAGCCTATAATATACTTGAAAACAATGATGACAGTTTCCCCACCGTGTTCTTTTCCAGAGTAAATAGCCAACAACTGATTGTTTTTGCACAAGTTACCATATGCTTTGAAAGGATTGGGGGTTATGTTGCATGAATTCTTGCAGGGGCTTACTTCTGCTGGTAATGCCAGGGGCTCATTTTACTGACAATTCTTTAGAGGACTAGCTATTAATGAGGCAGAAGCACAGATGAACAGCAGGGAATCTCACGTGCTGGGAAAATATATACATAGTATATCTGTATGAAAATCTGGAAAGGGAGAATCTTGATCTGTGTGTGTGGGTCACATGTCCCACTGTTTTTCCCCAAGTCTGTGAAGGAAAAAAAACACACAACAAAATGGACTGGTTGGCATAACTGCTAACCTTTAATAGTACAGATTGTTGAACCACACAATAGAGCATTCTAAACAACAAGGGGAAAACAGAATCTTGTTAAGCTCAATATGAGAAGGACACTTTAAGATCATCTATCTTGTAGACTGGGGTACTAAAAATGCAAAGTGACATCCCCAAAGGAGACATTGAATAAAACGAAAAGAAAAATGTTGGTGACATATTGATTAAACCTCGTGTGCCGCATATCTCCTATTTGTTCCTCCAAATCCACTTCCGTCCTTCTCCAACATGCACTGTATTCCACCAGACTGACAAGTGTGAACAGCCCAAATGGGCTCTCCATGCTCTGGCATCCAGCTGGGGCCAATGGGAGCCTCAGCAGGTGTTCATAGGAAAGGAAGGGGAAGAGTCAGGACCATTTACAACTCTTGTTCTCTCCCTGAGGGGTTGCCCAGGCCTGGCTGTGTCTCTTTTGGATGGTGTAGGCTCCCATCAGGTGACGCTACCTCTCTCCCATCAGGTGACGCTCTCTCTCTCTCTCAGTCTCTCTCTCCATCCTTCTCTCTCATCTAGTCACTACTCCTTCCCCTTGCCTCTTTAGGCCTAGGGTGGTAACGGCTCTTGTTATTAGTTCTAGAACACTGCACTGTCCCTTGTGGCTTCCCTATACCTTGCCCATCCTTTGTAAATACCCCCTTTACTCAATTTTCCTCTAATCACCCATCTTGAGCATGCCGTTTTTTTTGTTTTTGTTTTTTTTCCTGCTAAGACTCAGACTATGCTGTCAAAGGAAGCTCTTAACCAGGTCCTTGGTGTCCTAAAAGAAAGTTCTAGTAGACACTTGTCATTCTTTTTCTACTTTCCTTCAGCCCACCCCCCTTCCTGGCATCTGAGCTGTCTGGGGATTTCTCTACCTCATGGCTCTTGATGGGTGACGGAAACCAACAACCCCATGGAAGCCACAGGCTTATTCTCCCGGCCTCCCTTGCCACTAGGCTCAGATATGTGATCCAGGCTCAAGCAGATGGATGGAGTTTGACTCCTGACATGACATGGGACAAACAGGGGCTGCAGAGAATCCATTTTTTGCTGGAGCAACAGCAGAACTGGGAGCTGCATTAATCTCCAGATGGAGCAGCTGAGTCTAGGGTCAGACTTCGGGTGCGGGTGGTGTGTCCGGTGGAACCTGCACCCAGCAGCAGCGGCCACATGGTTTCCTGCAGAGATTTTATGTACTGCTCTACTACCGGGGTCCCAAGTATCTGTCTCTATGGACCTTCCAGAAAGCCTGTGAGTAACCCAACAGCCTTCAATTCATTCCTTTCTTGCCTGAATGAGTCAGAGTTGTTTATATTGCTTGAAACTAAGAACTCTGACTGATATAAAAAGCTGAATCTTTTGGACCTAAAGTTAAAAATAAATCCATGTTTGAACATTTACTCTGTTTCAATTTCTATGCTAGGTGTTGCCCAGCTAATTAAGATTGTCAATCAACATGATAAACACTCTAATGAAAGCGTAACTTTTGGGGTACAGAGGCAGAAGTGATTAATGCTGCCTGGGAAGGTTTTGGAAATTTTCAGAAAAGCAGTGAACTGGGTAGGTAAGGAATGGTGATGTGAAATTGTTTGGTGTGTCCAAAGAATGAAGGTGAGGTCAGAGTAACTGGTGTGAAGCAGAGAAAAGGGTCACTGGAGACGATGCTGGAACATGAACTAAGGACCAGCTGCAAACTGTCTGAACTTTACTCTCGAGGTAAGTAGGAGAAGCCATGCCAGGGACTCTGGAAGATGGGTTGAAGAGGGGAAAGAATAAAAGCAGGAAACCCACTTGGTCTCACAAAGGGCTACGACCACAGTAGAGGGATTGGGATTGAGAAAGAAGGCAGAGGCTTGAGAAACATTTAAAGAGATGCAAGTAGGGGCTGCTTTCCTGCTGGGTGTGGAGAGGCAAGGAGGATCCCAAGCTGGTCTCAAAGCAGTAGTGTGAAGGAGTAGGTGGGGAGCAAAGTTTCCTACGAATACAGGAAACTCATCATGTAGTACAGGTTTGGCGTGGAGGGAGGAGAAAGTGGCATGCCCAGATCTTCTCTTATGTTAAGGATGTACTAATACGTGCATTTTTATATGCTGGGATCCTGCATCTAATCACTGCTCCAGACAAAGAAAGGGTGGAGTTGCTTCCAAATTGGTTGCTATCATTTGATTTCCCTGTTATTCCTGGGGCTGTTCTATTTGCTACAGGTATACCATAGCCTTAAATTGCATGATCATCTGGGATGTTCTAGGTTGGTAGTTAGGAAAATATAATTCTTTAAAAAAAATTTTAAGCTTTATTTATTTTTGAAAGAGAGAGAGAGAGAGAGGGAGGAGCAGAGAGAGGGAGACACAGAGTGAGTGGGAGAGGAGCAGAGAGAGGGAGATACAGAATCTGAAGCAGACTCCAGGCTCTGAGCCGTCAGCACAGAGCCTGACGCGGGACTCGAACTCACAAACCGCGAGATCATGACTTGAGCCAAAGTCAGACGCCCACCCGACTGAGCCACCAAGGTGCCCCAGGAATATATAATTCTTTAGAAGGACTATACGTAAGCTGTTTAAATTCCATTCGCACTAGCCTCTTTCTCACTTTAGGGTACAAGCATGACCTAGATCCACTATCTAGCCCACTGCCAGACCCACACTAGAACGCTTAGGAGGTCACTGGACCACAGGATCAACAAACACTAGCCCTCTCCTTGGCCCATCTGCTGTTGACCTTCTCTGTTCCATTTCTAACCCTGATTTCTCCTGCCAACTGCAATTCTGAGAGCTGACAATGGCAAGCTTGGCTTCCTGATACATCCTTTTTAAGTAAACTTATCAACTTCAAGAACATATCTGACTCTTTCCCTGTGATACTAAGCCTCATTCCTGATAGTATTTTACCTTTGTTGTGAATAGTAAAGTTCTTCTAGTTGGTTTATTGTTAAGAAGTACATAGACATGGGGTCTGATGGATGACATCTTTAGCCTTGGATTATAAAAAGGGGCTACCACTGTGCACTTGGCTAAAGTAAACACATTTTACCAGCGAATGGCTTTCATTTATCAAATTCTCAGCCAGCACAAAAAGCTAAGCTATGTAATAAGTACTATCCTACAACACTACTCATTTATGAAGGCACAAAATGATGACTAGAAGCTTTAGAGATGTTTTCTAGAAACCAAATATAAGAACAGCTTTGTTACCGTGTACCTACAGAAACAGAAAATGCATAGCCCTTTATTCATTTTTGCTCCCTTCCTGAACAGTCATCTCTAAGTTGGTATTATTCTCTACTAGACCATGACCTCTTTGAGGACAGAATCAGGTTCTATTCCATATATAAATCCACACCATCGGGCATAATGAATGTTACATGATTGGGGCCAAATAAATGCTGGCTGAATTAATCAACAATATGTGATGAGAGAACTCACATTAGGAGGGGAGAGATCCTCTCAGCCATAATAACGGGGCAAGTGAGATTGCTTTGCCACTGGCAGCACTAAAGGCAGAGTCAGTGACTATTATCATGTATATGGAAATTCCAAAAGAATGGATAAACTAGACTCATGGATAAGAAAGTAGTCATCACACCCACAGTGTCTTGGAGATTTTTTTAAAGTCATAACCATGCTACATAAGCAATATATTATGAAGGCTGAGCATGTGAATAAAACTTAGTATTGTCATAAATTTTACAACAAAGTTAATCAGACACATATTTAATGACATGCATAATTATTTATGCAGCACTGTAATCAGACATTAATAATAAGCAGTCCACACCAATGATTCTAAGAGTCTTTACTTGTGTTCAACCAAACCAACTGCTTGGCATTCCCCCTCTCCACCCCCCACCCCCGCTTCTTAGGTGTTAATCCTCTGTACCTACTATCAGTGGTGAAGGGCTTCTGAGATATGAATAATTTAATTCTAAGTGCAGAGATACTGAAACCCTTACTAAAGACTGTCACAAGCAGGTAAGGCTCTCTGCACTGCTTCTACCACCTAAAACGCCTGAAGGAGAAGCATATGGATGCTCTGCCCACAGCTACACTTCAGTGCATTCCCACTCTAATGGCTGGATCTCTGCCCTTATGAAACAAAGAAACTAAAGAAAGCCTCTATGACCCAAAGTGGTACACTGGAATTTGGGAAATAACAACCCCCACCCATAGGCTGTCACCAGTAACTAAAGGGAATTTGTGATAAGATCCTTACCCCTTATCCCTCAGGGCAAGGGGCAGTAATGCTGACGTGCTCCCACAGTTACCCAATGGGCTGCCCACAGCGCCAGGTGACTTATGAATGCCCCCTTTGATGGTATTCCTTTCCTTGATTCACTTTTCTATTCTCTCACCAATGCTTCATGGAATCACCATGCATACATACCAGTTGCACCTGAATCCTTGTCTCCAGATCTGCTTCTGGGGGACCACAAAGTAAGATAGCGCTCCAGTGATGGGGTTGCAAGTCAGATGTATTCCCTTCCTCTAAGGGAGGGAATTCCTCCCTTATTCCTACTTATTCCTACTCTACACACACACACACACACACACACACACACACACACAGATGCAACCAATCACTTCCAGGCTTCCTGGATACCAGCCATCTGCAGGTAGCAGAAGAGCTGTGCTATAAGCCTGTGCTTTTCCTGAGGGCAGCTCTCACCATGACATGGGCCCCAGGAAGATAAAAGAATGTATGATCATTTCAAGGATGGAGGATGTTCCCTGGATTCCTGAAAGTGGGAAGCCGGTGGAAGGCAAGAGTCCATCTAGCTCAAGCAGAGAGGGGAAAAGAGAGAGAGCATGAGCTGGCAGTCTCATGGCTTAGAAAAAGCTGCCTCGGGTGCTGATCTGCAACAATTATGCAGTCCACGTACCTCTCGGTAATAGGTCTATGGTGGTCCTGATGACTAGACTGACTCCCAGCTCATTCTTCTCAGAGACAGTCCAGAGTCTTTCATTCTGCAGTTAAAGAGTTAGGCACAAATAGTCTTGATGAAGTCATGAAAGTACATTTATGCTAAAGTGTAAACGACTCATAGCTTCTTTTCTATTATATGGTGGGGAGCTGCTATGAACATAAGGACACTAATGAACTAAAAGGGGAAGGGATGTCCCTGCCAAATAAACACCAGAGAAAGGGCAAGGTGGTGGTGACCAAGGCAGCACCACTATGTACAGAATTTAGCATGGGACTTGGTACTTACACTGGCCACTAATGTACAGTATGATATGGATGTTTAAGGCATTGAAAATAAACCACTTGCTGCAATGTCCTGAGTCGAGAGGGCTAAAATCAGAACATAAAAGGGCTTACTCCTTTTTTTATTAAAAGTTGTTTAGTTGTTAAGCTGGCTGCCATGAGGCCTAACATTTAGTTCCAATTATAAGTATCTGTTTTGAATGGTATTTGAATTACCAGGTTCTACATTGTTCTGGTTGGTAAAGTCTCCTTTGTATTTTGTAAAGAGGCGAAAATTGGTATACTGATTTATAGAACAGATATGCCATTTTTCAAAGTATATTAAGACCATGGTTCACTATAACACGGTGCTTGTTGGAATAAACCTACCAAGAATAAACTGGTCTCTATTTGGGGAGGAAACACTGAGTGGAAGAGATAGGACTCTGTTTTAGGTATTTTCCATTATCAGGTCATTCTGGTTTAAATGTCCTAGTTTAAACTGATGCCATTTTCTTTCCCTCTACTTTGCTGAATAAATGGCTGAGGACATTTCTAATTTACAGAGTTGGTTAACAAAATAAAATCTAATTTGGCAGCCAAAATCATATTAAGATTTATACGCTAAGAATTTGTAAAATGTATACACTAAATACATGTATGTGACTACATTAACTTTTCTTCAAGTATGCTCACCTATGGTCTTCTCTGAGGCACAGTCTATCATGCTGAGGTCCTAACATAATATGAAAATAAGATGCATTTGGGAAAGCAAGAGTAAAACAAAAACATACCTTAAGCAAAATCTTACACATCTCCAACTCATTATTAACCAGGTTTTAAGTTTTAATAAGTTCATTACGTTAAATGTTTAGATGTCTGGGTGGTTCTACCCCAAAACATGATCTCTGAGGGATTTCCATGTCTGTGTAATAGAGTGATCACGTGACACTTTCCCAACTCACTAATCTGAACATACAACATGAAGAAAGCTCATATTCTATCTTGTTTGAAACATCTGGGAAAATGAGCCTGGTATTTATAAGATGAGGCTCTCTGGTTGGGGTCATTGACATGTCAAGCCAATCAGCTTGCAAATGCAAAAAGAACACTGGTAGGTGCAAAGGTGGAAAGGGAAAGGGGGGCAACAGAATAAAGGATTTCTTGTTAACTGATAAGAAAGGAACATACATATCTCAATGAAATGCGATTTTTTATTTTTTCTGGATTTTCCAAAGATTAAAAAATTTTATTTTTTCAATGATATTTTTTCACTTATTTTTAAATATAATTTATTGTCAAATTGGTTTCCATACAACAGCCAGTGCTCATCCCAACAAGTGCCCTCCTCCCTGCCCATCACCCATTTTCCCCTTTCCCCCATCCCCCATCTACCCTTAGTTTGTTCTCAGTCCTTTAAAGTCTCTTATGGTTTGCCTCCCTCCCTCTCTGTAACTTCTCCCCCTCCCCTTCCCCATGGTCTTCTGTTAAGTTTTTCAAGATCCACACTGAATGTAAATGGACTAAATGCTCCAATCAAAAGACATAGGGTATCAGAACGGATAAAAAAACAAGACCCATCTATTTGCTGTCTACAAGAGACTCATTTCAGATCTGAGGACACTTTCAGATCTTTTAAATTGGAAACTTAAATCCTTGAAATGACAAGGAAACATAAATAATTTACAAATAAACTCACTAGGTCATCAAATGCTGTTCAGTCCCCAATTGGTAAGAGCAGTGAGTACAATCTACACATTTAAGCCCACTGGCTCACTTTGCACAGTGTCAATTTACTTTCAGTAAAGGTGTCAATATCAGTTTTTTAAAAGGACATGTTGGTAAACTGTACATATCTATTTGTAGGTGCCATGATGTAACCTGGTGCACAGTAAACATTCTTCCTGTGGTTAAAAAACTTGGATGGTAGAAAAATTAGAAAAATACATGACCTACTGTTAGGTGGTGACCAAGCTTAAGGCATGTCCACTGAAAGGTTAAAATCTGGATAATAAAAAGTAGTTGCAGTACCAGTAACATTTCCCAAAATGTCAGATTGCAGAAGTATCACTTACATAATTGCTTGTAGTTTATTCCTTTGCTTTTCTCTTTTCTCTCTGCATCTTTGTAACAATTTTTTAAAACTGGAAATATAATTGTTGTCATGTGAACAGCTGTAGAAATGATTAAAAGGTATGGAAAAACATAACATGAATGCCAATAATCTGTTTCTAGCAGTAACACTGTTTAGGAACAAAAGAGGAGAAAGAAGCACAAAGGGAGAAAGGTTTATCATCTTTGAAAATGTAAAAACTAAACTTCATCGCTTAATAGGAAAAAAAAGGTTTCATATTTAAAGTCAAGGAGAGCTAACTCCTAGCTGGCAACACTACCCTGCATCACTGGGGTCAGCAGCAGTGACTTGCTGTGGAGCAATGTTGCAGGACAAAGTGGACAGGACTTTGGAGCTAGGGGACAGAAAATCATCCACCTCTGCCAGATGAATGATGTTGGGCAAATCAGTTAGTCTCTGCCAGACTACATTTTGTCATCCAAAAATTTGATATAACTACCCAAGAGCCTCATGCGGAGGTGAACACGTATTTCTCTGTGAAATGTTTGTTGCTGTTTAAATAGACAGCACTGTGCAAATGTAGGCTACTGTTTCGTATTGCCAATTGTCAAATATGCTACTTAATTCTATCCAGCTATACAAACTAGCATAGCCTCCCAATGGTCTTTTCAATAGTTAAAGATTTATGAATAAAATGATTTTCCTAATAGGATTAACCTGAAGCTTTTCTTAAACATGTAACCTTGAGCCCACCCTACAAAATAATGCTTTGACTATAGCAATGTACATAAAGACTATCCTAGTTTCTAAGATGTCAAACATCGTTCACAAAAGAGAACTACTCTTGAAAGAGATATATTTGTTTTAGCAAGAAAAGATTTCTAGTTCTCATTATGAGTGATTTATTGATGAATGCAAACCATAGCGTAAGAGGCATTCCTACGAGTGTCCTCATGTGTGGTTTGCAAGGTTAAGGAAGAGGAGAAACGACTTGATGGTACCAATGGACCTTATATCTATTTAAATATTGTTAAAGGAAAATTATCTTTTAGGCATTTAAGAAAACTACATTGGGGTGCCTGGGTGGCTCAGTCGGTTGAGCATCCCACTCTGGCTCAGGTCATGTTCTCACAGTCCATGAATTCGAGCCCCAGCTGTCTGTGCTGACAGCTCAGAGCCTGGAGCCTGCTTGGGATTCTGTGTCTCCCTCTCTCTCTTTGCCCCTTCCCCACTTGCACTCTGTCTCTCTCTCTCTCTCTCTCAAAAGTAAACAAACATTAAAAAAAATTTTTTAAAGAGAAAAAAAAAAGAAAACTGATTAAAATAAGTCTGAGAATGGGAAAACACCAAAACTGTAAAGAAGGTAAAAATAACCATAATCTTAACCAAAGATAATAATAAACCAACATGTTGACATACCAGTCACCCTCTATAAATACATCTTCTAAAAATGCACCCTATAAATATACTTTTGCACCTGCTTTCTCCCCATTGAGTATCAAATATACTTTTTTTTGAGAGAGAGAGAGAGCGAGCGAGTGCACAAACAGGGGAGGGACAAAGAGAGAGAGGGAGACACAGAATCTGAAGCAGGCTGCAGGCTCTGAGCTGTCAGTGCAGAGCCCAAGGCAGGGCTTGAACCCATGAGCCGCAAGATCATGGCCTGAGCCACAGTTGGATGCTGAACCAACTGAGCCACCCAGGTGCCCCTCAAATAGACTTTTTAAGAGCAATTGTTTGGAAATTGTCAAGTACCTGAAGAAATATGTTGCAATTGACATAATTCAGTGGCCAATGGAAATATCATGGCAAGTTCCCAACTGGTCTCATCTCACTGAATAGAAACAAATGTCCTCATTTCAAACAAGTGGGAATAACCGAACTGAGTTAGGACTCTACTTCTCTTCTAGTTAAAAAATGTAGTTCCATGCAGCAACAATATTATGGGGAACAAAAGAAAAAAAATAACTGTCTAAATTTGCACTAGGGTCATTTCTTCAGACGACCAAAGACCATCTTTTTCCCAGCTC